CACGCTCTCATCATCCCAGAGATCAGCGCTGATGACGGCGGAATCTTCCAGTGCACCGCCAGTAACAGGAAAGGAACCGTCTCACACGAGGCTAGAATCAAAGTTGAATGTAAGAAGCTTACTCAACAACACCTAACCACATCTGTCCTGCTCCAGGGTTCTCCAGCTCATAACTTTGACACAAACACAAAACTTACAGATGCACTCCACACGTTCATTGCTCAATCAAAAAGATTCTGTGCTTCTTCCAGCTGAGCCACACCAAACATTTACTTGTTGTACTTATAAAATTGATTCCTAAAATTGGTTTGATTTATTAGATACTGTTCCTTGTGTACCAAAATTGATTCCTAAAATTGGTTTGATTTATTTGATAATGTTACTTGTGTACTATTCATGTTTTAACTATCTATTATTGTTCCTATGTCATATGTCTAGGTAAGTGTTAAGGTGTGTACGCTATCAGCACACTTTGTATTACCTTTACCTAGTCCCATCCTCACATGACTTTGTATTGTCATGTTACAATTCCGAATAAATAATAATGAATAACTAATAAATGTAAGAAGCAAAATCTAATACTATTCAAAGCGTGCCCTCATGTTCGTGATTATTATGGTCGTACAGTGCACTTTGAGGGCGGCAAAACAATGGAATCTGTCTTAAAAAGTAATATTGATTTGATTTATTGAAATTGCAACAGTGCAATGCATACGGAATAGAGGCAGCTGTTGCTGGTGTTGTGTCCCTCACATAGTGGACGGACAATACTCATTGTCCCAAACAAATAGTGGACGGACAATACTCATTTTCATTTGAGTCTAGTGGGAAAAGTCATGTAAAGTGCCTTTCCCAAGGGCACAAGATCGGTGGCATGGCAGGACTAGAACCCGGGACCTTTTGATTCCGAGTCGTGCTGCGCCACACGACACCATAAAAAGTAATATTGACACTTACGTAATACTGCCATTTCGTTGTATATTGTAGTCATCATTTCACACTTTTAAATGCGTTTAAAATACCCTAAAAACAAGCTACATGAGGCATCTTTGTATTTTTGGGTACCACCAATAAATAGCTTGAAACCAGCCTACGAAACAACACAAGAACCGTTTTCTGTCACCTACATAGCACTGATGCCTCACGAATATCAAAATGCTATTAGATTATATTATATTAAAAGGATAACCAAAATCGATTGACTTGGGGACTTCAGTTTTGCCTTTCTGAATTCCATTGGATGCCACTCGCAACCCATTGGCTGAATTTTCTGATTTATTGCATTTGTACTGAAAACTTGTTCTACAATGGGATAGAAAAAACGTAGTATAGTGTCGTCATATTGCAATAAAACAGGATTTGGTGTTTGAATAAAGAACACCGCATAAAATCCCTAGTTTCCGTGTGAGAAATTGCCGCACACTTTCCCGGATATTTTAGGTTTCCGGTAGAACCCGGGGGTTTCCAACCTGCACACGAAACGTGTCCAGTCCCGTACATGTCCTGTACACTCCCGGAAATGAACCACTTTTTGTGTGCAGGTCGTGTACTGGACGTTATATGCCCGGACACGATCCCTGTACATCCCCGTACACGGCAGGAAATGGCCGTGCACCGCTCCGTGCGTTGCTGGAATATGCATAATTTAGCGGCAATTATCACCTAATTATTCTCCACACGGCAGCGGAAATTCGCCGTGTACGGGTCGGACATGCCGGTACTACACCCCCCCCCCCTCGGCCAAAACCCGGCCCGCTCTCGGGACCGGTTGCTCCCGTTCCCGGGACCCGTTGCTCCCATTCCCGGGGCCCTGCTGTTCCCGTTCTCGGGACCCCACTGCACCCACTACGGGGACCCCCCTTCCCGCTCCCGGGGCTTCGCTGCCCGGCTCCCGAGAAATCGCTTCCCCCGCTCCCGGGACACATTTCGATGTTTTAGGAACACATTTCATTCATAAAAAAAAGTAATACATGTTTATACTTCATTCATCGTTTTATTGGTATAAACAGGATCGCCATTTACAGACTGACAAAAATAACGCTCTATGTATAGTGTATACACGTTATGCACTATGCTAACACTATACAATAATGTAACCTGGTACTTTACAAAAATGTGTAGCCGAAACATAGAAACAATAGCTTTTTCCCGAACTAGCCTTCCAGGGACTAGACTTTTAAAATCGTTGGACCCGGTGTAAACTCAGAAATTACTAGTAATTAACAGATTTCTCTAACTTTAAAAAGTAAACTAACATCACATCTCATCACAGTCACCTCCAAATAGAAGTCCATTTTAGCAAAAAATGTCAAAAAGTAACTAATACTGACATATCATCAGGTTAAAAGAGGAAAATAGCCCTCAGATCATGAAAGTGAATGGCGCTTACACAAACAGTCAAAAGACTAAATTTTCAATAAACAAAGAAGGCCTCAAACAAAGTTCTTCAAAATACATGTACGTGTAGCAAAAACATAATGGCAGACCTAACATGAAGTTAAATGAGGCTTGGCAGAAAACAATATCACGTCATTACAAAAAAAGATCATTTGCTCAGAAATTAATTACATGAACACGTATTCAATTTACAATGTCGTTAAAGACAAGCTGTCGGTTTCGTAAAGTTTGCGTTGTCGCCTCTACAAAATGAGGCTTAGTTGTAGATTGAAGGCCAGGAGGTATGCCCCCCCCCCTGCTTCAGGGGACCATAGCGAAATGTTTTCATCCTGGAAGGACAAACTGCCCCATGTCTGTCTGCGGGATGGCGTGGTGTTGGTGTCGGTTGTGATCGCAGTCAGGCCGGAGCGGCGTGCTGGGCGCGGGGTGCACCCCGGGCGGGAGTGCAGCGGGGCCGGCCTGGGTCGTCGGAGCCTGCCGGGCGCTTTAACACAGCACCCTCGCCTTTAGATCTGAGCCTGGGTGTGCAGTCTGCCTGTTTGCCTCCAGCCTGGCCTGCAGGACATGGAAAAACGAAAATCTAAGTCAAAAGTCGAAGGCATTTTTGAATTTCATTTGAAGTTACGTGTACATGTACTAGACGTTTTATAAACAAGCCTGGCAAAGATGCGGACGTCTGTATGGACACATTTCGAGGAGAAGTCATTTATCATTTTTAACGAATGTTTTTAACGTCAGACAGCAACAATTTTGTCCAGGTGAAAAGGCTCCATTCATCAAGCATCAACGTCTACTTGTTTCTTTTCATTGTAATCATGGGAACAATACAAACACAACATTTCCCTCGGTAATGAAAACAATTCAAATTGTCAAGAGCCTTGTCGGCCTTCGTATGCAAAGATATACATTTGCATAGACTCACCCTCTTCTGTGTGACTGCAGTCGCTTTTCTTTCTTTCTTTTCTGAGCTCTCCGACAGCCTGGCGATAAAGTTTCTTCAAATCGTCTCAAAGTATCCCAAATCCGCGCCTGAAAAAAGTACATATGTTCTGAGCAACATACAAACTATATCGATGTACTTCTAAGTAGAAATAATAAACTATGTTATTAATCAGTAAAAAAATAGTGTACACTTCTTGCCAAAATAAATATTTCTGCCGTAGGCACAACTTAGCCAAGGTTTTTAAACAACATGTTTAAGATATATGTAACGATAGTGCCGTATATATAATAGTATCCTTGTTTTAGCTTACCCTTCCTCCTGTCGGTTTGCTGGTTCGTTGCGGTGTTGTCCTTTCAATGTAGTAGAGTCATTTCTTCCGTTGCGAAAACGAAGTAACAGAACGGAATGTTTGACGCCATTTTAGTTCAGGAACATACTAGTAATCTTTGCAAGCCGAGACAAACGTGTTTTGAAAAAGCAAACCGTCGTTGTGACAAAGCAAGATTCAAACGACCCACCAAAACAAAGCATCGCGTCTCTTATTGGCTGGTCCCGGCGAGAGCGAGGTAGGATTGGTCGTCAGTCATATAATCACGTGATCGCGTTCAATACTACAACCATCTTGTTTTTATATTATAGGTTTTAAGTTAAATCGCCTGTGCAGTCTGAACACTTGGATGATAGGATGTTTCTGATTGTGTGAATGTATTTATTTCAAGGCAGACAAATGATCTTCATAATTCTAATTCGTCATGATTACATGGCTTTATTCGTTCTAGAATTACACAACTTGTCGCTCACTAAGTGAAATAAAACCGCACTTCAACTCCAACATAACCTTACTCTTTGTAAATGTATCCAAAATCCACAATTAATGTCATGAGGGTTGACTTGTTTTGCTGGATTTCAGTATTTTACCAGGCATGGGGACGCTGTGAGTTCTCCCTTTGTTTACACAAAGGCTATTCACATAAACGGACGCCATGTCAGACACATCGCAATACACATCGACCGAACTACAATGTAAAGCTTGCATATTATTACCCATACATGTACCTAAAAATCATAACAAACTGATCAGGTCATGTTAGTTCAAACCCCTTTAGTCAAGCGTTTGATTACATCATGGTAATGAACCTCACGGATAAACTATTATTTCCAAAATAAAAAATTCAGATTTAGACCGGAGTGTAGATTTAGGTCATTTTGACCGAGTAGGTCATATAACCCCAGCGTCGGGGCGCCCTACGCTCAAATGTGCTTTGTCGTATGGACGACATCACGATAAATCAAGCCAAGGACGCATAGGTTCAAATGTTGTATTAACAATCCTTGATCATTCTATATCTAATTTGCTTAGATTAAAGTGCTGGCAACTTTGGTTCAAGTAATTATCACCTGAAACATGAATACACGCAGTACCTAATTACCCTGTATTGTTAGCCGCTCCCCAACACACGCCAAGTGTGCGGGGCGTAAATTTCCGTGCACGTGCACGGCGAGCACGAATCCGGGAGTGTA